ACAAGATCATGTACATTTTTTCGAAAATTGGAGTACTTTTTTCCCAAGTTTGTGTTAAAAAAACGGGCGAGAAAGTATGTGCTGTATTAGTATCAACAGTTTTCTTATAAATAAATAATTACAATTTTCTTAATTTTAATTGTAAAAAGTCATAATACAAATAGTTGAATTAGCTATTTTTTATTCCTATTATTACCCAATAAAGAACCGTTCACTTTTTTCGATAATATAAAGTTCTTTTTACTTTTATTGAAATTTTCGTTGTTAGAAATACGTCAATTTTAATTCTCTTCTTAGCAACACTAATTAAAACTACATGAAAAGTGTTTTGTTTTTTAAATATACGTTCAAAAACATGCTTTCTCTTTCAGTAAAGTACCAGATCCGAGAATATGAATATTCGTAATAAAATACTTATTATTTATTTTACTCTTCGAAGCAGAAAATAATTTTTTACTAATGGGGCAAAGCATTTATTTTTTCACATTGCTAGAGGAAACAAATCCGAATGGAAATATAAATCAATTAAAAATATGTTTTTTTCATTAGGGACAAAAAATAGCTTGTTATCATATTTCCTATTTGTCAATCTTTAAAAAGCACTAACTGAAGCAATCCTCCGCTTTCTGGGGATTTGCATGTACCAGAACCATCTATTAGGAATAGAAATTAATCTTAACAAAAGATAAAATATGTGTAGAATTTTATTTATAATGTGACGTAGTGAAATGAGAATAAATTTAAATAACAAAATAAAGATAGTATATTAAAAGGTTATAGACAAGTTACAATAAATTGCTAAATTTAAACACTCAGCAAACTTTTCCTTCCAGTACCCTGCTTTACCGCAGAAAAATAAAAGCCACGCGTGATGCGAGCTGTCGGACTTCCGACCCGTGACAATTACCGTCACATGGCCTGACGCCAAAATTTAAACCGGTCGTGGTGACCGTGTGCCTACAGCACGTGAGATCGTCTGGCCCTTACGCTCCGGACATCTCGCCCACACTCCTTGTACCTACTTGTACAACGCTCTCCGATGTAAACTGAATGAGAACGCGGGCGCAGTTGGCGCCGCGTTAAATAGTTGAGGGGTTCACCCCCACCACACAAGTTCCCTAGATAGGCTCGCTTGCTGTCGGCGAGGGCTCGCTGGCTAGCATCTTAGGAGGGGCTACGCCCCCACCACACAAGTTCCCAAGGTTGGCCCGCTTGCTGTCAGCAAGCGAAGGCTCGCTAGCTAGCTTCCTAGGAGTTTACAGCCTATGGTTATTTTTGGCTCTACCACGCTGTCTGCGTCAACTGCCAGAGCGCAAAATTCCGGAGGTTCAGGCTCAACCCTTTCCTCCCCTGCAGCGTGCTTTCACCTAACGGTTCTGGCCCTCGTGGTAACGACGCCACAATAACTTCAATGCAGCCCTCATTGGCTCCTTGGTTAGCAAACTCACTTTCCTCGCTTCAGCTGTATGGAAGCCACAAAACGACTACCCACACCACTAATCCATACAGCAGAAAACTGATGATGATGGCTAAGCCATCGAATGCTGGTATTGTAATAAAGAATATTGTTGGCAATGACGACTCATAATTATTTCATTGTATATGCCAACGAAAACTCACCACAATACGAATAAGTTTCGAGTCTTTTAACCAATTGTAGAACTGATTACCTTATCTTAATTGGGTCATTGAGCCAAGCGCTGAGGTGCACTACTAATTCCAAACATATTTAGACACTTGGAATTATACAGCAGTGAAAGTACAGTAATGACCTGTAGTTCATTGTAAAACAATAAATTTGACAAAATGTGCGTTTATTTTTATTTATTTAGCTTAAAATACTATAAAAACTGTATGTTATTTGGTGATAAAATGTGCAATTAGCTCTGTATTTCTTCTTGAGCTCAATAATATCAGTACCTATCTCTTCTTACTACTCCTGGTTGAATTGTAAATAAAGGTAGCAACAAAATACATTACCTGTCGAAAATGAAAGGGAGGATCCTTCTCCGAATTTGCTCAATAAAATAAAGGAAACTTCAAAAACCCGATCGAGATGAGGGTGCTTTTTCCTTTACTACAGAACAACTCCCTCAGAATAAATTTCAAACTTCTTGTGCATATAGGTGTTGAAAATGATCACTTAAACGTAAACCCTATTGCTTGCAACGGAGTTATATGCATCTGACATTTGCCCCTGATTTTTAGGTAACGCAGTAAAATGCACACTGCTCGGCAGATACAAGAAATATCCTTGATTGAATCAGAGGTGGCCCGCAGGGGTTGCCTAAAACCCAGGGACAAATTCCTCATATACGATTGATTGATTAGTGGTTACTGGCGCGTCAACTGGCGACGTTAGTTCTGTACTGGAAGTATATGATTTATAACCGGTAATTTGCGGTGATTTTCCCCTCCCAGCTGGGATTTCCCCAACAAGGTATCTCCCACCAGAGGCTCCCAGCCGGGACAAGCTAAGCTTCCGAATGTGTGGTAGTGTAGTGCATATAATTGAGTGAGTACGAATGGGATGAGGATGTTATAAGGAAGGGAAAGGAAAGATCGCGCGCCGTTCGCGGCTAATTCAGCCACTCATTCACCCAGTCATGCTCTCATTCACTCACCCACAACTTATTCACTCACTCGCATCTCATTCACTCACCAACAACTTATTCGCTCACTCACAACTCATTCACTCGTTCACAACTCTTCACTCAATCAGTCAGAACTCATTCACTCAAGAAAATTCTCCGGCATTAGCCTGCGTTAATCGTAGAAACCACGGAAAACTACCGATCAGAGCAACCGGTCGCTATAATTCTCCTCCAGACAGCGACTGGTTTCGACATAGATTAGAAGCTAGTCTCGAAAGTCCTGCCACATTCGGGACTCAATCCTAAGACCTCCTGGTCAGAGAGACTGCAGTGGCATCTGATGCCCTGAGCCACCTCTTCCTGTACACATATAGGATTAAAAATGCATATAACAAGAGTTGTATATTATTTACTAGGCTGTCCGGGTGACGCCACGTCCATGGCGAAGGTGCCGACGTTTCGGTCCCCATTCCGCGACCTTCCTCAGGGCGTAATGCTTTGCGACCGAAACGTCGGCACCTTCGTCATGGACGCGCCGTCACCCGGACAGCCTAGTAAATACTGACTCCGGCCGCGGAAGCCTACGCTCTCAGAGTTGTATATTATTTCTCACTTTATGTTCTTAGGCGAAAGGGATTATTTCCCTCCTGCGTGTGCATTAATAGTTTATAACTTTTATTCTGTGATACCTGTATGTTTGTGTTGTGTAATGTCTGCGAATTTAATGTTAGATGGTAAAGCGACGATGATTGAATATCAGAGAATAAGTGAGTGAAAATCTCTGGTTGAGTGAATAAAGCTGTGAGGGAGTGAATGAGAGAAAGTGAGTAATTGAAATTCAGTGAGTGACTGAGTGCAACTCAGTGAGGGATGAGTCAAGGAATGGGTGATTGAATGAGTGAGTGAGTGATGAGACAACGACTAAGTGAATGAATGTGTGAATTAGTTGTGAGTGAATGTGTTATGAGTGAGTGAGCGACTGAATGTGTTGTGAGTGAGTGAATGAGAGAACAACTGAGTGAATGTCTGAATTAGTTGAGAGTGAATGATTTGTGAGTGAGAGAATAAATTATGAGTTGTGGGTGATGAATGAGTGATGATTTGCAAGTGAGTGATGAGAGAACGACTGGGTGAATTAGTGACTGAATTAGTTGGGAGTGAATGAGTTGTGAAAGTGAATGAATGAGTGATGAGTTGTCAGTGAGTAAATGAGTGATGAGTTAGTGAATGAGTGATAAGTTGTAAGATAATGAATGGGTGAGGAAATGTGAGTGAATGAGTGGTGTGTTATGAGTGAGTGAATGAGTTGTAAGTCAATGAATGAGAGACTGAGGAAATAATGAATGAGAGAGAGAGGGAGAGAGAGAGAGAGTGACTGAGCGAGTGAGTGCGCCACTTCAATTCTCTCGTGTCCATCCTTCGAGTTGGAAACGTGCTTCATTTGCGTGGCACGGCAGCGCGAGTTCTCTTCAAGGGAGGGCTCTTGAGACGGTCTCTTCATCGCTGCGAGAACATCAATTTCGTAGCCTCTTCTACGGACGTCCAACTCACACCTGTTCTGGCCTCATTTTCACTCTCAAGATATACTACCTTGTCAGTGCACCCGAGAGATTGTTTATCGGCTCGAGAATGGAGAAATATCTAACGGTTCTCCAGTAGAAAGCTTTCTATGAATTCATATATGCCTTTTTGAATAGTTTTAGATAATTTTTTTCTCCAGATGAGAGAGAGAGAGAGAGAGAGAGAGAGAGAGGACGAATCATTTTGTAATTATTTCACTATTTCTGTGTACTTCAGACTTAACTATTTAATAATGATTGGAAAAAAACAGAGAAGAGGAGAGAGACGTTTATAAAAATGGCAATATTTTGTTTAAAAATAAAAGAAGAACGAAATAACCTTGATAAGTTCGACAATTCCTGTGTCATAGATATGTAGAAGTGTGTGCAAGAAGCTACCACCAATCCTCTTCAAAGCGATGTGGCAAGTCAACATTTCAAGAAAAATTATATGAGCCAAATAAACTGAGCCGAATGAGACGGAAAAACCGAAGAATATGAAGGAAAACGAGAAGACCGAAAGAGAAGGAAAAAGGGAAAAAGAAGTCGACGAATGAGAAGAAACTGGAAGAGAGAGCAGATGTGAAGCAGAGAAAGAGGCGAGGAAATCGATCAGTAAAAGGTGAAGGAGGGAGGAAAAGAGGAACATGGAGAAGGGAGAGGAAGTGGAGAAGAAAATAGAGACGGGAGGGGAAGGTAGTGGAAACTGGGATGGGAAGGGGAGAGGATGAGAAGAGAAGCAGTACCAGAAGATGTAGTGGTAGAGAAAAAAAAGGAAATAAGACGAGGGGAAGAAGTAGAATACAGTGACGCGAGAGAAGAGCGTGATGGAGAACAGGACGAATAAATGGAAAAGAAAAAGAAGGACGAAGGAACGTTCGCTCATATCGCCCAACAACCCGACCATCCGTTTACTCTCCTCCGTACAGCCACCTCCCATGGACCGACCGGTTCTCTCCTCGCTGCTCCTGCCCCGCCCACACTCTCCTCCCGGGCCGGCGCGGCACAGCGGCGGCATCGAAAAGTTCACGGCGCCGCGGCCCGCGCGCGAGTATCAATTCGGCCGCGGCGCCCCAGCCCGGGCGGCACCACGCGTCCTTCCCCCTCCACCGCCCTCTCTCGCCCTCCGCCGCGGCCCCCTCCACCACGACTTCCCCCTCCCGCCCCGACCCCTCCGCTTCGGTCCGCGCGCCACTCGCCAGTCTGCTCTCGGCAACGGAGCCGGTCGCTGCCGCACTTCAGCTGTCTCCCAGCCGCCGTCGCCGTCGTGCCGGATCGCAACCTTTCGTGTGAACTCGTGGACGTGAAAATTTCTAGCCGGCACGGTCGGGTGGTTCTTGGCTGCAACATCCCCCCTCGTAACCCGTGCGTTTGACTGTTTCGTGTCCCTTCACCGTTCTGCAACTGTCTTACTCCCGAGTGCGTTTTGTTTGTGTGGTGGTGCTCGCTCTTGTCTCGATTGTTGCTCTCCTGTGGCCCTCGACTGTTTAACGGCTGACTGACGAGGGAAAGGACCTGCGAGTCGGTGGTGCGTGTTGATGTGGTTTTGTTCGTGTGTGGTGGCCGGTGTTTTGAGGTCCCGCCGGGAAGAGAGCGCCAGTGATTTCGAGTGGAGCCGCTGAGGTAAGAGAGTTCATTGTTGTGACGTACGTTTGAACGTGGTACCTGCGATGAGTTGTTGTGACCAGTGGGCCGTGTAGGAGGGTCCGAATATGTGTATGTGTGTGTGTGTGTTCCACAAAACGCTCCTTCTGCACGAGTGGGAGTGAACAGATGTTCAGTACCAATTTTTAGATTCAAATATTGGAGGCGAAGATTTATATATGGTCTTCATTTGTACAAGTGTGTCTGCTGCATGGTGTCACTTCAATTCACAATTTTCATTTATTTACTTTTCTTTCTTTCTTTTTTTAAACAATTTTTTGGTTTTGGTTTTCCATTTCACGAACCCTGGAAAATCGTTCCGACAGGGTGCACCCCACCATACATGTCCAGTGTATAAATAAGAAATGATTGTAAGTACGTATAAATGTTTAGTGCAGTACAGTGTCATGTAGTGAAAATGTGTACGTAAATAAATGTATGGCGTGAAAATATTTGTGCGAATCTAGCGTGTCGTATACTGACATTCTATGTCACTTAAAGGGTGAAGCGATCAACCAAAATGTTGCTCTATGTATCTTTAACAGTTGCGCCCGCAGAGTGGGGGCAAGCCAATGATACATTCTATTAACATTTTTCAGCTTTTCAAATTTGCTCTACTAAAGGAATCATCCAGTATATCAATCGTTTACGTTGCATGTGTTAACTATATCTCAAAAATTTTAACAATATATTTTAAATTCAGCATAAATGAACATTCTTTTTTTAGAAAACCTGAAGTCCACTGAGCACTATAAGTGTAGCCCCTCGCCCGCCCC